TTGCAACACGAGACACCACGCAACACGTGCGACCGATCGATTTTCACAGACGTGTCAGGTGATGCGAGGAAGTGATTCACACGCCCAACCGCCAGGCATGCTGAACTACGCATTTCAATGCTTTCTACTACTTCTCGCACCTCTGCGCATTGTCGTCATTCCCACCAACCGGTTCATCAACAACGTCCACCAGCCGCTTCGTTTCGACTTCTCCAGCTAAAATTACTGTATAGCAGGAATTATTTGCCTTAACTGCCTCTCCATTCCCCGCTGTGCTTCACTGTAAGTTCACCAGCGCTGCAAAACAATGCAATAACAGGGGCAGATGAATTTCTGCCATCTTGCGTGGGTGCTCTGGTTCTATTGCCTGCGGATGGCTGCTTCTGCTAGGCGAGTTGTTTCAAAAGCAAAACTACTTGCAAGACGATACTACACATATTTGGAATGTCCTTCACAATATGACGCTATGTGCAAATTCCATCATAACGCTTCAGTCTCCTTTGGAACACAAGTACGGATTCAAGGTAGACGGAGGTGGCCTTTCACGCGAGCTTGAATGGGCTTCAACTATCCTAGCCCTCTTTTCGCACCTTCGTCTTCCTTTCCTCCGCTTCCGCCTCCACCTCTGCCCTCGTCTCCAACTCTACCTCTACCTCCCTCGCCACGTCCACATTCACCAAACACTCTTCATTCTTTTTCTCGTTCTCACCTCCATTCTTCTTTGCCTCTAACTCAACCACCTCCGTCTCCTCCTCCTCCTTATTTCCATCCCGATTCTTGTTTGTCTCCACCTTCACGGTCTCACTCTTACTTCCATTTACATTCACCCTCGTCTCCGTTCCTTCCTTCACCGCCTCCTCTTCTCGCACACCCGGTCTTTTATCATCTTCAAACACACACACCTATGCAATGCATGTATCCGAGCATCTCAATTGTGCGCCTACCTGTGTCTTCTTCCTCTCCATCTGACCAGTCATCTACCATGCACAAGCAACTTCAGTTCGATTCACTGTCCCATTCACTACCGCACATCTCTCCTCTCAACTCAGCATGTCAACCACAATGTGTAGCACAATCGCCTTCGTAGTAATCCACAATTTGCACAGGAAACGCTCCGGCTTGTCGACAAACTGCAACGAACAAAAGCACAATGTGACATTTACCAGTCGCCTCGGCACTGAAGTCACACTGCTGTCCTCGTCTTTTAGTCCCATTCTTTATATTCTCTTCCTCCGCTCCCAATTGCCTCTCGCGACCACGTGTGTTGAGGAACACTGGAGCAGATGATACCACAATTTGCGCAACAGCATTCCGCTTGTGCCACGTGGAACTGATGTAATTGGTGCTAAAAAATTCCACTTTTCGTACGTCAGCACTGATATTGATGCCAATGCCAATGGTGGAATACACCTGAGTAACCAACTTTAACCATAGTTCTGAGGGAAAGTAACAGCCCTGTTAAGACAAGCTTGTTTGGGCACAATCGAGCAGTGGATTGTGAGGCAAGATATTGGCGGATTCGGCTTTGCGATGCGTAGACGCCAATCGGTAGTGTAGCATTATAGGTGGACAAATTGTGTGTCATGTAGTACAAGGTGGGCAGGACAGTGAGTTCATGTAACTGCTGTCACAAGGCCACAAGACGCCAATCGACTTGTCCACGTGACAGATTGGAATTCGCGGACTGTCTGAAGAAGTTGACCGCTGTGATGAGCGCTAATTTCGAGTTGACCGAGCCTACCTCAGTCTCCCTTCACCACTTAACTTCGAACCCTGAACTATCTCTCTGTTTTGTTTGGATCATCCTTATCATTATCTACGCTGTTTGCTGGAAATACCGACGAGATTGCACGCCATGTCTACTTACTCGTCATCCTAATGCATAAAGCATTCATTATAAATTGATCAATGTCACATGTCACATATTCGTGACAGTTGGTCTAGAAGTCGCACACGTGTGGCACCCATTCCGGATGCGCTAAATGGAGGCTTGCTACCAATAGTTTTGCAAGCCCCAAGCAGTTGTGATGCAAAAGCCCGACAAAGCGCCTATTACGGTCAATGCATGGTGCGTGGGTATGGATGTATGAACACCTATGTGCCGCCCGTTGAGAGGCCTTCGAGTGACCTTGAGTAGTTCATAGTGTGGCTGCGATGCGTGGAAAATGAGTAGACCTGTGCAAAAGGCTCGGCGTCAATTATTTATATGTTTTGCTTGTGCTTAAATGCAACATTTTGATTAGCGTTTTAGCTCTTCCTTGACAGCTTTTTTGAAGTCAATCGCCACGAAAAACTAAAGCTCTGAATGATTGTTTCATTATCTGAATGGCTGTTTAGTGGCACTTTACTTGGCAAGAAAGAAGGCCGAATTTCTTCCTTTTCTTGATTTCTACAATTAAGGATCACGGGCATTTGTATGATTAAACATTTAAATTGCATATAAGCCGAAGCTGCTAACTCCGCAGCAGATTCAGTGTTCTCTTTTTCCTCTGCAGCCATAGCGTTAAAACCAATTGTGTTTGCATTAGATTGGATTGCCATTCGTACACGGGGGTCAATGACATGAGCTCAGTCACTGATGCTGTAAATACTGACCAAATTTTGTCAAAATATGCATTTAACCAATCATATATTTGCATGCCTATCCCAAATTTTTTTAGAATTAAGCACAAATGAGCAACAAGTAGGATTGGTGAGACACGGTTTTATGCATCGACTGCACTGCCATCGAACCTTCGCTCTTAGCGTCTAAATGACAACTAGCAATTCTAGGCATTGACACATGAACATTGCATTCGTGAAGGATTGGACATTTAGCAGATATTTTCCCTTTTTTCTCCTCTAATACTACACCTACATTTCACGCAAATAATACCTTTGAGCAGGTCCCGCATTGCATCATGGACCACCAGCATCGTACATTTTAGGATACAGCTCTGAAGAAATGGCATTTTGCAATTTACGAAAGACTGCGAAATGGGCAATGCATAGATTTTTTGAAAACAATGGGTCTGTGTTCAACCCATGCCAGTTAAACCTAGTAGGAGGTGATGCCAGTTTGTTTCCCTTTACGTCTTCTTTGGGTTGGCAGTCAAACTGCAACCACTGATCAGCGCATTTGCAGAATAACAAGTAGGAGTAGGCAGTGACTGGATTTAATGTCCAGGCGACTCATTCACTGCTCACTGCATACTTCCGTGCAAACTCGTATCCTGAAGGTGGAGAAGATAGTGACATAAGAGGAAGTACTTCGATGATGCCATTTGTGAGAATGCTTACCACATCAGACCTGTCTAGTGACTATTTCATAGTTTTTGGCACCAGTGAGGAGAACTCATGCTGTCAAATTTCGTTCGGCTCTTATCAAGGATTACTCCATCAATAAAGGCGTCGGTAGGAATAATCATCGTTAAACGTTAAATGTTGCATAGGTCCTGAAGGGCCTTTATGTGACTTTATGTTAAATGTTAATGTTAAATATAAAGCAATTAGGATCTACTTCAATGCTATTTTGGAACGTCTAATGCCAGCTGTCAGGTTAGATTTTCATGCTCTTTGTTGAAGCAGAGTCTTAGGTTAAATTTCTGGTTGACTGGCACTATACCACGCAAGGCTCCACAAAAGTGACTAATGTGCTAAAGATCATCCAGTTGATGAATGAGTGTGCTTAGTGGGAACACAAGCATTGATTAAAGTCACCCAACCGCTGGAGGAGTGCGGTGGTTGCCTGCAAAGTGAGAGAATGACGACAGACAAATGTCGGCGCAATAGGAGAGAGCTGTTCAGTTAGAGATGTGCAACACCTTTATGTGGGGTGTCTATTGGTAATTACCAGTACATTGACGTCTAATTCTCTAAGGCTGAATGTTACACCTCGGTTTTGACTCCACTTAAGCATTTTTAATCTCTCCTCATCTCATTTGCAACACCTACTTTGCGTTCCAAAAAAGTGGATGTTGCCAGCGTTTTACTGACTAATGAACGGTTTGTGTAAATTAAAAAGATACGGACATCAACCAATATGCCTCTGTTACATTTCGGATTGCAATGGGGCGAAAAGACATCAAAATCTACTAGTGTATGCTTCGAAAATAAGGAATGAGCCTCTCCACTATCGTCTCGCCTGCAGACCTCGTCGCAGATCATATGGACGCATTATACTTGTCAAAATTTAACATTATCTTGCTTTTCAGTCGCAACAGCAGAAATAAACGCACTTTTTATGCTTTTCTAATTTTGCTTAGAATAAATTTCTCCTCGCATTGTTTTGCGTGTAGGACACATTGAGGCATTCAGCTTAGCTGTTACTTACGCCTTCCTAGTTTCTCCGAGTTTATTTCTTAGGCTTGATATGCTTCCTACGTTGGGTTCACGTTTTGTGTCTTAGCCCTTCCTTCTTGCATACATCCTACTTGTGCTGTGGATCTGTTGAGTAAGCAAGCTTCATGACAAATGAAACGAGTTTGAGCACAGTAATGCAATTTGTGATCGTTCTGGTAAGGAAACGCACTATAATATCATTAATACCATCAAAGTTGTAACATTTTGGAAGCCCTTGGATTGCATAGTGGAGGATAACCATTAAGAATGTATTACATTCGCCAAATGATGTATATTTTAACAAAGGGAACTAAGCACCACACGCAACACAACTGCATCAAAGGAAACCTTCCTCACCTATTTTTAGCAAAGCAAACGAAGTTGTCGTCTTTGGTCATTTCAATTTACTACTCTCAATTAACTTATTTGTCTTTGACGAAATATTATTCGAATCAAGTTGAAGGAAGACTCATTTTGGAGAATTGGTTTTTTTGAATGCTGACGACACAGCAGTGGATTCTTATAAAAGCAGGTGACCAATTTCAGTTGAGCTAGCACGTTGTGAGATGCACGTATTTGGAGAGACATATTTCCCTGACACTTCGTCAATACCTGTGAGAGAAGGGTATGCATACAGTAACTTTGGTAGCATGTGCAAGATAGTGTAAGGTAGAATTCGTTTGAGGTGCATTTACGCTTTACGAAATGCGAATTTGCCCTAAGACTGATTATCAAATGAAGTTAATCCAGCCTAGGCACATTGAAGCATGATGTGAGACTGGTCCCAAAGCGAGTCAATAAGGAGCCAAATGCATGGTATTTTCCTCTTTTTTTAGGCTGTGCAGAATGATAGGTAAGGTCAAAATCAGACTTATTATCCATTCTTGACACTCACAAGTAGGTAATAATGCTAATAGGAAATGTGGATTTTGCGCAATGAGTGGAGAAATGTGCGTCGGATGAAATAATTCTCCCACTAGTTGTGTTACTTATTTACCGAGGCAAGTAATGGAACCAGTGCGTTCTTCAAACTGGTCATTTCTCAATCACTCGCTACTCTCAGGATGCTTCCATGCAATAGCACTAGGATGTAAGTAATCCTGCTTTTGCTACAACCGTGGAATTTTGGTTGTGAATTGTGTTCGTCTTGTAATGAACGCTCCCTTGCAAATAATCAACCAGCGATAAACCACGTAGGTGATTTAACACTGGCGTAGGGGTGTGCGCACCATCCTCGAGTCTGGCGGGATGTCACTACGGGGACAGATTGCGTGACTGCAGCGGAATGGATGTGAAGGATGTAGAAGAAGAGTGTAAGAAAAGAGACGTAAGGGTCTGAGTGAGGTCGTGATTTGCAACACTTTGGAGGGTTTTAAGCAGGTAATATCATTGTCAACATGTGGCTGCATTTGAAA